TATATATATATATATATATATAAATTGAAATATGTCAAAATTAAAGTATGTAGTAATAAAGTGTCTAACATCTTTCCTATCTTTTGATTCTAGTTAATTTCTATATAGGTTTTTATTTGCATTTTGTCTTTTGTTTGTTGGTCCTTGAGTTTAAATTTAAATAACTTCTGATCATTTTTAGCTAATTGTTATTTTGATTGTTGGTTTAAGTCCCGTAAAATATGTCTATCTCTCTATAATAAAACAAAAATAATGCAAAAAGAAGAAATTAAAAAATTAATTAAAAGGAGAAAAAATACTAAAAAGTATAAAATTGAAAACTATGAAAGACTTTGACAAAATGATTTGCTTGTTAGCTTGCTTGCTGATTTGTTCCTTGATTTTAAAGTATGCTATTGTAATATTCATAGAGTTCGTGGAGTGCAAGCCCCTCTTTATGTTTAACCATATTTTTAGATTTTGAATCTCTTGTACATTAACAACGACTTACTTTTTACCATTATTTGAATAAATGCGTGCACCTCCAAAATTTTAAATCTTTACACAATTTTTAATTTTCATATCATTTGAATCTTGAGTGGGTGGTGAACACTATAAAAGATACTATAAATGTTTAAGGTCTTGGTTTTTCTTTTCTATTTTCCAAGTCAAAAACCCAAATCCAAGTCACAAGTCAAAGTCTTTGTCGTTGTTGTACATGTTAAGTTGTAAATCAAGGTCTTCGTCGTCCATAATACGAACAATATTACAAATAAAATTTATTAATTTTGCAATCTATTTTGGTTGGTCTGCGTAGTTTGTTAATATGACCACAACAAAGTGTTTTCCTAAAAGTCGTCATTTTGGCCACCACATGGTAGAAATATTTAGGCGTCACTTTGTATGAAAATTAAGAAAAGAATTTTTTTGACAACTCTCTTCTCTTAAGTAATAAACTTTCGTATTGGATAGTTGGAACTACTAGATTTCACCAACAAGCTCATCCTCAATATCCTCAATACCTTCTTGGACATTTATACATTGCTCATGGATACATGACATTCTTTGTTTGGGTGTTATTTATGGTGTAAATATTGTGATATTATTGATAAAATAAAAAAAACTTATTTAGTGTGTTTGGTTTAGTTGATTTTTTTAACTTATAATTTTTTTTCTTAATACCTATTTAGGATGTTTAGAAACACAAACTTATAAACTAATTTCACACTATTAAGTAATAAATATTTGCCGTTTTATTAACTATTAACTAATAATTATAACTATCATTTGTTCCTAATAGCTAAATTGAACAAAGCTGTTATTATTATTATTATTTTAAAACCTCACTTGATATGGTTGGCTGAACTAGACTCAGTTATAACAAGTTGGCCATATACTCTAACATGTTTTAAAGAAAAACTCACAAAACTTGACCAACACGGTAAACCTATTATTGGGTTATAAAAATCTCTCATTAGCAATTTCAAATCAAAGTCTTGTGGCCCATAATATTAGCGTAGGTCTAGGTTCTTGTCATTCGCTTAATTTAGTCTTTGTTTGGTATTGTTTATTTTTTAGTTTTTAATTTTAGTTTTTAATTTTAGTTTTTATAAATTTTATAAATATTGAAAAGTAAAATTAAAAATAAAAAATTTAAGTGTTTGTATAATAACACTT